GGAATTCATTTGTTTAGTCAATTACCAAAATTTGGATGATTTTGAATATTCACTTGAAAAGTTATCAAAGAAAAACATTTTTCATTTTGTAACTTCGAGGGCCCGTAACTTGGTTACGAAGACTTTTAGGAAAAAAAGTTATATGAAGTACTGGTGATATTTTGACCCCATCTATACATTCCCGAATTCCCGAGAGGAAAAGAGGAAGTCCAGGGACACCCTGTATATAAAAATAGAGATTTTGTCGAGTGTGCATGATACAAATAAAAAATGAAACAATTAGTGGACACACCGCTCCAAAAAGAAGGGCAAACCGCGGACACGTGTTTCTGGCTATTGATCAGCGCGGTGCAGCCAAGTGTAAAGATGGGCAACACTTGTTTGCCAAAAGCAGGAAACAACACATACGCACGGAGTCAACAACAGGAGCCAACCGCACATTTGTGGTTCCAGTTAGAAGACCCAGAATTCTCATGTAGCCTAGGAATTCTAGGTATTCTAACTGGAACCACAAGTGTACGGTTTCGTAAACTGTTCAGTGAAAATTTCACATTAAAGAATCACTTGAACACGTTATAGATCACTATCAAGTATGAGCCAATTCCATCACATGTATTATTCAATAAATTGAATTGGTAATAAGCCAATTTCGAAATTTTTGTATAAAAAAATCACTACTAATTCTAATGTTTTCCTCTGAAAAAAAATGAGGCATGAATTGCAATATAAACACTAAATCCTTGGGATTTTTTATTTGATATTATGACAAAAATAAAGTAAAAATGAACATGCTTTCAAAAGTATTGGGATGGACCATATCCATAATAGGAAATTCCGAAAAAGTTATTGTAGCAACCTGAAAAATAAAATAAATTATATAATGGAGAGTTACCACAGAAATAATAATGTTGCCACCATAACAAGAGATTCTAGTCTCGTCTTATCTTGTCTAAATTTCATTTTTATCATCACCACGAAATGAAAAATAATGATTATATTTTGAATTTTTCGTTGTGTAGTAAATGTTGTTGCTGATTGGCTAGCAGTAAATCTCTCATATCCACCAGGAACTTTTGTTTGAAGGTGATTGACAATGTTTCATGATGAGTTTCATTAGATCGGACTTCCATTGTCATATCAGACAATGGAAGTCCGAACTCATGAAATTCATCACCAGGAACTTGTTCATTTTGTTCCTTAAAATGTTTCCATAGCGCCTAATGTGCAGAAAATAATGTAATATATAATGTTCGCTATTCTCCAATCAATTTTTTAATGCACAATCTCAATACTCAGTTTCAATACAAACTTCCACAATCCGTGAAATCCTGATAAACTATTTGGGCGATCGAGATAGAAATTTCACATACTATGACCAGAACTATAAAGAGGTCTATGGACCTCTTCCCCAAAAGGGGAAGTCTATGTTTTTTTTTCAGATATGAAACCTCAAGGCCTGATATCTGATATCAGCTTTTGAAAGTCTCTGACTGAAAGTCCCCTCATCCCTACCTTCCATAAACTACCTTCAGTCGTAGTAAAAAATCGTCGTAAAAAAAATTATATAGTGTGTCTCAAATATGAGATATGACTTCATCGATAATTTTTTCAAATGACCACCCTGTTTTAGAGATTAGTTTTCTTAGATAATCGCTTTATGGCTTCCTACTTCTCCATCAACCAACAAAAAATGTGGTTGTCTCGAGATTTCGAAGTACACCATTAAGGATGGAAGTGTTGGGACTTCCATTGTCTGATATGATATAATCTGATTTCAAATCTCTGAAAATATTATATTAAAAAGTGAAATGAGTTGCTGAGAATAACAATTATATTAAGCAATAAACGGTGAAATGGAATTACAATGAAATACAAATGAGCAAAAATTTAAAAATTGAACAATTGAAATGGAATAAAAAATTCAAAATATTTTGAACCAAGGTACTTCACGACGTTTCGATTGTTAGTGTCCACAATCGTCTTCGGATGATGACTGAACTATTCCTCCGAGAGATGAGTTTTTTAGGTCATTTCACTAACAATGACCTAACTGCGGCTGCTTAGTTTGTCACTTTCGACGAGCAGGCAGTATTTTTTGAATGGCATTTTGAAACATAAAATTATTTATTAAAATTTTGTTATAACTGAAGAACGAATATGAAGGTAAATGTGTTTTATCTTCCGTATAATTTTTTTTATTGATGCGGTAAAACTGTGAAAGATTTTAAAATGAATGTGTTCGAATATTAAAAGTCAAATATATGGTTTTTATCATAGTTGCTAATAGGTATTATCAAACATATAGCTAAAACTTACTTTTGCAATATATTTCTCCACAATTTTCATATACATTTTTGACGTCCAATAGCTTGTGACAACAATAGCAAGAAAAACAACTCGTATGGAAAGCCCCACAGGAGACTGAAACTTTTTCAGCAGCGTACACCTAGAGAAAATAAATTACATACCTACATATTTTCCTTCAAGGAAAAAAAGTTAAGTAGTAAAATTATTTTAAAATGCAACTAGTTCTCCTTTATTTTCAATGTTTTGATATTAGTACCTGTTCACAAAGAGAATTTGAAGCTTAAAGAACTTCTAACTATTATATGCGAGCTATCGGGTTGATGTGTCGTCAGAAATGTCATCCCCGTATTCTCAAAATATGTACCCCGGATCTGACACCGAACTTCTGCAAGTTGAGCTAACTTTCATACAGACTAAATGCATTTGCTACCATTTGGAAAATAATATAAGCCCAAACAGTTTTTAAAATGGAAAAAATTGCTCTCTTTCCTCATACAATGAAGAGGAATTATAATAGATATTTCCTAGCTGCATTACAAAAATCTTTTAATGTTGAAACATTTTCAAATGCTACCAATCAAATTATTAAAATTTATTTTTTTCTGTAATTTCATTCACCCTTGGATGCGGTTAGTCTCTGAAAGCATTTTCCATCCAAGCAGAGAATTGGAACACATCCGCCTTGTTCGCCTTACTACGAGTATGATATTAATCTTCAAGCTTCTGCGGTTGATGTATATTATATTGGATATTATAACCGAGGAAAAACCAAAGCTATACTGCCACCGCCGAGCTGCCGTTGCTGCATTTCAACACAAAAGCTCACTTAGTTTTATTGTGTCTATATTAATTAACAGCTTTGTAATAGAATAAACTCTGCGGTTGTTGGAGAGCGCGCGTGTGTGTACCGGATGGATCTCGTGTGTCAAAAGACGAGGCGGAAGATGAAAATGATATTTGACAAGGTTATTTGGAAGGTGTTTTATATATTTATGATAGAAACAGATTATCGAGAAAAGTCCAAATCCATTTCGAGGTTAATAATTTCTACCGAGGAATCTACGGTGTTAGCGAAACGCGTCTTGACATTACAATGTTTGTGAAAACTGTCATGGATGATTATCATAGATNAATAATTAGTGACTGGATTAACTATAAATCGATTTAATTCGTGAGGTTGCAGTCAATAGCTGGGCTGTTACAAAGAAAACTCTTTGTTATATGTCAAGCTTTCGGTATATTTCACACCTTCGTCAGGACAACTACAATAATAAGATTATATATCTTGTAAAAAATATATAAATATGGAGAACTTACTAACGTGAGAATAAAATATAAAATGGTTCAAAAACAGATAGAAAAACATTATAAATGACAGTTGATAAAAATTTTTGGCCAACAATTTTTATCTGTCAGATATTGTATTCATTCAAAGAGTGAATCTGGTACATTCGAAATGAAATTCAAGAAATGCAACATATTATCAGGCTGCTTCAAAAGTTTTGTCCGTTTTAATGTCATGTGTTTCTTTCTAGCTCCATATCTCAATGAATATTTATTCTACTGTATCGTAGTGTATACTGATTGATATCAAATGTTGTACTGTATACATTGATGCTGTTCATTTTTCCAAATTTTAATATTTTGCCTCTTTTCAGCTTATAATTATATAATATCGTTAAGCGATTTTTGGCCAATTTTTCGCTACGAACTCAAATTGAACCAAAGCACTGCCGAAACAGCCTGGAAAATTAACCATACATTCGGCAATGATAATGTTGGTTTGCAAAATTTCGTTCGGAAGATCTAAGTCTCGAAGATTATCCCCGAAGTGGTCGACCCTAATCAGAACGATATATTTTTTGGCTCTGATCGTCACGAAAGATGAAAAGTGAGTCCTCTACGACAAAAGTAGACGTTCAGGACAGTGGTTGGACACCGATGAGCCAGCCACCCAGGTACATCCCAAAGGAGAAGTGACGGTTACTGTATGATGGTCAGCGGTTTATGTGATTCACTAGAATGACAATGCCCGTCCGCACGTTTCACAAATCATCGTCTGAAAATTAAACGAATTGAGCGTCGAAGTTCTGCCTCACCCACCTCATTCCCCAGATCTCTCGCCAACCGACTACTATCTTTTCAAGCACTTCGAAAACTTTCTCACCGATGGTAGTGCGCCAATCAGGACTAGGTAGAAACGGTCTTCGTCGACTTCATCGAATTCCGATAAACCAATTTTTATGCTTACGAAATTAATCGACTTGTGTTACGTTGACAAAAGTGTACTGATTCAAGTGGCAGTTTTTTCGATTGAATTAAATAAGTAGATAGTCACTGAGATATTACAGTTTGAAGTAGACTCATAAAAACGGATAAAACTTTTGAAAAAACCTAATAAAATACCCAATTTTTCATACTCCCTCCACGTTATTTACATTTATTATGATGACGTCAATAGAAACTCAATAAGGAAGAAGGATCATTTATAGTGGCATCCCATTTCAAAATGGATAAAATATTTTTATATTAATGTGAAGCTATTTTATAGTACAACACATGTTGCGGTTTCGTATACTGTTCAGTGAAAATTTCACAATACAGTATAT